CGCCCCTGCCCCCCCCGCGCGGCCCGGGGGGGCTCTTACCGCGGGTCCGGCGGGCGCGGATTTGGCGGCGGTCCCGGGCCGCGCGGCGCTGCGCTCCGGCCCCTACTGTAACTGTATATGCAAAGCCCCGTATGATGCTCAGCTCCCTTCCTGGTTCTCCGAGGGCACAGGGGTCCCTCCCTCCTCTTAAAGGTGCAGCGCCCTCCCGCCCCCGCCCGTGCCACGAGTTCGGCCGGCCTCAGCTGCCAAGCCTGAGCGGGGGAGGGGGAGAGGGGGGGGCTCGCCTCACCCCCCTGCCTCAGTTTCCCCACCTCTCAGCCCAGCGGAGGGTAGACAGAGGTGGGGGGCAAGGGGCGTCGTGTCAAGGGGCCTTTCCTCTCCTCGGGCAGCCCACCACGACGAGAGGAGGGACGTCGGACCAGGCCCCGCGCGATTTAGCTCCGCGACACGGCCCCGGAGCGCGGGAACCCCGTCTCAGCGCCGGGAGCCGGACCGGACTGGACCAGACAAACGTTACTCACGTTGCCCGGCACGGCCGTGGCGAGGAGCTTGGCGGGGCGAGAGCGCCCAGCCCAGCGCTCCACAAACCGACGGTGGCACGTGCTTCTACGGCCACGAAGCTCTTACAAAACCAAGCCTGCTTTCGAGAGCCTGCCTCCCATCTCACCCTTTCAAGGAAATCAAGTGCAATCCACTGGCTGCCTATCACCTGGAGCCAGAGGTCAGGCCAGGAAAAATAAAAAAGTCATGCGAGCTCCCTCAAAGCTCCTCCTCCCACCCAAGCTCCTCCTATGCCCGATACTAAATAAAGTGCCTCTCGCAGGAGCTTGCACAGCATGAATGCCCCTTGCAACAGCCAAGAAGTGGTCAACGGCGTTCACGCGAGTCGCTGCTAACGCACCGCCATCGTTAGGTTCCAGGGTCAACAGCCTGGGATTTCGCATCCGTCTTTGGAGACGTTTTGCATGATCTGCCAGCATGGGCACGTGTGCAGCCCCCCTCACTCAAATGTTTCCTTTGCAAGAGGAAAGGCTTCAGATTTAAGTGGGGGGACTTTTAAGACCAAGGGAGTGAGACGCTCAATTCCCACTGGGTTTTGGATACTTCTGAAAGTCCAATCATGAAGGGCTTGAACACAAAACGCAGCCTCTCCCCGCCCCAGAGAAAAGGACCGACTTGTTGTGTCGTCATGAGCTACCCTGATCTGTCCCTGGCACTTACCCGAACGCGATGTCCTTGATGTCCAGAAGTGCCCGGCTGTGCTGGGATGCCCATGGCGATGCACATGCAATCAGCCTCCTGCCTCGTGATAAAGAGAAGAACCAGTCCGCATCTTCCAGGGGCTAGCAGCGGGATGCAGGAGAAGGCTGCACTAGGCTTGCTCTGGGAGATTGGGTCCGAGGCACAACTTAGCAGCTTGGGAATGATGTCTGAGGCCTTGTCTACACTAGGGCAGCTTCTGCTGGCAGACAACAGCTGCTACAAGGAAGTCACCAGCACGCCCCTGCAAGGTCCATGCCATTCACTGCACCCACTGGGGTGAATGCACCCTGGGAAGACTCCAGCTGTAGAAGGCACCAGGCCCTGGCAGAAAGTATAACCATATCTACAGGCATGCCAGTGGACAGCAGAAGCCCCTTAGATGGGAGAGGGGGCATATGGGTGGCACAAAGGAGGTGGGTGCTCCCACAGACCAGCTAAGAGCGTGGATATGTGCTCTTAGTTTGACCCCAGCACTTGAGCGCAGTCTGTGCACGGGTCTTGAACATGGGGTGCAGGGTGCTCCTTTAAAGCAGGAGCCTTCAGTGTGGCTCAGGTCAGGCATCCCAATATACTGTATTCAAGTGCTCACTCATTACTTCAAAAACTCTTGGCCTGGACTGAACAATAAGGGAAAGCTGCATTGTTTTAACACTCACAGCTTTGCCTGGATCAATCCCACAACGCCATACACTGGGGCGGGCCTGGGGGAATATAGATAATTAGAAAAACCATCCCAGCATTTGTCAAACTAATCAACTACCTTCAGCAGGGCCCCAGAAGGTACGTTTAGAAACACCTGCCTGAAGGACTGCTGTGGGGCAGAATGTGGGGATGGAGGATGAAGCCTGTGGCACGAGGTCTCCGGCTTGGTGCTGCCAACTTGTGCGATCTGTAATGTTCCCAGATGCTGGAGTCCTGCAATTATGGGAACATCCCAGCTTTCTTTTTAAAGTGGTTACTAATAGCTGATGAAAGCTTAGTCATGCGAATGTACCCCCCCAAAAAACGAAGAGAAAGAGAGACAGGCTCCCAAATGGATAGAATTAAATCTCACGGTTTTCAAGGGATCAGAGTCTTGACTGCTTGGGGTTGGCAGTGCTGCCAGCTCAGGTGTACTCCCCACAACTGATCAAGTGAGAGAGGACAGGTGCAAAGGAGGCCCCTACTAGCTTTTGGTATCACTTAGGCGTGAAACAGAAGAGAAGAGCATAGTGATCAGCCCAGGGCAGGGACACCGCCAGTGCAGCCACCATATAGCTGACCGATTGCACATGTCCCAATCATCACAGCCCTCTAGGGATCCCACCAAGGAAGTGGGGTGTTGAAAGCCCTAAAACATGGGCCTCCACCCTCTGGAGGAGTGCTAGGAAGTGGGGTGTTGAAAGCCCTAAAACATGAGCACTCCTCCAGAGGGTGGAGGCCCAACACAGATCTCCCCCTGCATCACATCTCTCCTCTGCTGCTGTTTGTGTGGATGAGCAAAACAACGATACTGATTTGAAAGGGGGAAGGGACTTACCAAGGGTCAGATGTTAACTGCTGTGTCTGTCTGCTCTATCCCATGGTAAGTAAGTATTTCACCTGGCTCATTCCGGGGTAAATTGCTGCCGTTTAGTTTCACTCAATGTAGTGCAGGCTCAGACAGGCCAAACAGTTGCAGGAGATCAGCTGATGCTCACTTGCTCACAGGCAGCCTCTCTAATCCCCCTTTCAAGCAGTATAGTTCCTATTTCTTTAGCACCTTTCATGCACAAGAGTCCCATGGTACAGCCACCCACAGCAATGCTGAACTGCCATGGTCTCTGGCTGGAGAAGATAATCGACTCCTGCTTCCTTCTGCTCCTTTAAAAGAAAATCTAAGAGGGAAAATTTGGGCCCATAACCTGGGGCAAGCCAGTGCATATATAAAACTAGGGCCCCGGGAGGTATCCTATCACCACAGACCAGACTGGTCCTTGGATTCATTGCGCTAATCACTAACACCACTACCTACCTCTGATCACTAACACCACTACCTACCTCTGATAAGGGACTTTTCAGCCTCCGAATTCAAAGCTTTACCATGATGGTCATGGGGCAAAGCCGTGGCAAGGGCTTATGAGGCCCAAGATCAGAGCCAGGAACAGCACCCAGGTCTCCCAACACCAAGGCTCCCAGCCTAGTGCTCTGTTCACTAGGTCATACTGTTAGCACATACGTGCTAACACACATCCTCCATGCAAGGGCAAACAGAGCTTTGTATAACTCTTCCACTTAGGCATTGGCAGTCAGATAGGGAAGAGCAAGTATGTGAGGGCTGCCTGGTTTTAAAGGTTTATTCCAATTTTTCTAGTATATACATTAATAAAGGGCGGGGATGGGAAATATCACATCTCACAGGGGACAGAGATGCCATTTTCTCGCTTTGAATGGGGAGATATCATCACCCCCCTCTTTGCTCCCAGGCACAAAGCAGATACCATTATCTCGAACCCAGCAAAAGTCAGCTGCAAGTATCCCAACCGACTACATGGGACTTTGGATTTGGCCCTGAGACAGGAAGTGACTTGTGTGCAGTCACATGCCGAGGCAGGAACTGGAAGCCAGGCGTCTGTCTGGATGCGTGGTCTGGTGCATTAGGCCTGAGCCCACCGCCATCTTAGATTACTAAAACCTGAAGAGCTGCGATCGCAGGGCCCCTGCGACCTACTTACTTATTTGCATCTTACTCAGCTCGGACACTGAAACATGCTTGCCCAACCGGTTTCACTTTCTCTTGCTCCTCAGTTCTGTGCTCTAGGACAGGAACATCACCTTGGGGTTTCAGTGGCTGCTGGGGAAGTTGGAAAGGCGAGAGTCCAAAGCAGTTTCTTTGCTGGAATCAAAGTAGCAAAGAAAGTCACTAAAATACCCTTATTTGTGGGCAGCTTTGCAAAAACTATATTTAAGATGGTAGATTGTGGGCTTCGAACAAGCACCTAACACCATTGGCAAACTATTGCCTTCAAAAACCTTTTTCTCTTGAAGCCATAACTCCTAAAGGGATCACCCAAGGAGCTCAGGAGGTCATGCTGACAGCCCTCCTGGCTTCAAGAGAGGCCTAAAACATGGGACTCAACAGCTCAATATCAGAAGGCAAATAATAACCCCTCCTCCCACAAATTAATTGTTATATAAAAAAAAAAAAAACAACTCATGATTTTAAGCAGTCTGATGATTGCTGCAGGCCTGGGGGTGGCAGCCCTTGCATCATAACACAAAGGCAGAGCTCAGGCAGAAAACATGATAAGGAAACCTAAGATTTCAGCCACAGCTAGATTTATACAGCACCTAGCACAAGGGGTGCTGGCCCACCATGCCACAGGATAGGACAAATCAATGGTTAATACAATAATGGGAATGAACTACTCCCTCATAGTCAAAGCCCAGAAGGCTGTACCACCTACCTCCAGCAAGCCAAGGCATGCTGTGTCCGGAGATCATTAACTTTAATGAGAAGCAATTAGGCATTCAAAGGACTGGCAGCTCAGATCGCATATCAGAGCGCACCAGGAGCTGGGTTAATTTTGCATGGGGGAGGATGGTTTAGTGGTTAGTGCTGGGAGCCAGGATTTCTGTTGGGTTCTCACATCCCACCCACCTGCCTGGTATTAGGCTGGCAGGGCCTGGGGCTGCATGGAGCAAGAGGCACCCAGAAGGCCCAGAGCTCTTTGGGATGGAGCTGAGGTACTCAACAGCTTTGCAAGGAAGGTGGTCCAGTCCCCATCAGCTACTGGTGGGGAAATGAAGGCCCTGAGTGGGGCTGGGAATTGTCCCAAGTTTCATGAGAGGTTAGTTTGTCCATCCAAGCCCTCCAGGCTTTTCAGGCACAGACAGATCTGCACACAACCCCACTTCCACCTTATCTGCCCAAGCCCAGGCAGAGTAGGGTAGAAACTCATCAGCCATCCAGGTGCCATCAGACTAGGCACAGCACAGATGGAGCGAGAGGCAATCAGTGCCTCAAGGTGCTTATGATTTCAAAAGACAAGACCCGCAAGAGGAAACATCACCTTTTTCCAGATGAGAACCTGAGGCCCAGGCACAGCTCTGATACTGCTCCCTTCCTGCCTCCAGGGCTGCAAACTCAGAGCGGGAGCAGGACGTGCAGAAATGCCCCCAGAGGTAGCAGGGCGCAGACTGCAACACGAAGCTGGAGAGGAGAGCAGGGCCCAGCTCTCAGGTTGGCCTGTTTGATCCTCCTGTGAGGCAGTAAGTGATGCAGCCAGGGCCACTCAGGGAGGCTGTGGCAGAGACAGGAGCTGGACCTGAGGCCTTTCTCCATCTCTACAAAGATGATCGGGGCTGAATGTCACGTGCTGACCCTCCAACAAGGGGTACCCTAGCAGAGCAGGCATCAGACAGGGCATCTAGAATCTC